GATTATTTATTGGAACTCGATTTTAGCTTATAATTTAGGGTGTGGGAGTGTGGGTGTGGGTGTGGGATGTGGGTGGGTGTGGGTGTGGACGAAGAGAAGACCAACACTCACCGCCCCCCCCCCCCCCCCCCAACACACGCCCCCCCCCCACCGCGACAGAGAATCCAGATACCCGTCACAGATCGTGACAGAGAAATTGTAGTTGTAAAGCATCAGATAAACGGTTAGCTACAAATGTATCGCAACATAGTGGAACGAAAGGATTTCCATTGAATTAGTAATAGTAGAGCCATCGTGTTTCACATTTTTAATCCCGCAAGAGATTGCGCTAACAGCTTTTTCGCCCGGCTCTCTTAAAGGATTTGACCCAGAACTAACTATCATCTATATACATATACATATATATAATTGTTCAGTGTCTGCGTGTTTCTCTGTGCCGGGTCAAAGGTGAAAGGTGGAATAAGGCTATAAAGGAAATCCACCATTTGGGAACCCATAGGTTCTCATGGGCTTTTATATGGAGGTAGCCATAGGTCCGTAATGGCTATTATATGGAGGTACACATAGGTCCTTAAGGGATACTATATAGGGGTACGCATAGGTCCTCAAGAGCTATTATATGGAGGTACTCATAGATCCTTAAGGGCTATCCTATGGAATACCTATAGGCCCTCAAGAGAGTAGGGCAGTAAGGATGTAAGTAATAAGGGGTAAGGCAATACGGAGATAAGACTACAAGAGCTACGAGGGATATAAGGCCAAAGGCCACCTAGTCTTTAAAAATATGTGCGATATAAGAGTGTTGGGTCGTAAGGCTATCTATCTATATACATAATATCGAGTGTCTGTATGTCTCTTACCTAGGGTGTGGATGGGTGTGGTTTTGGCTGTTGAAGAAAATACTAGCACCCACACCCTTCTTTTCTCATGTAATACACACTTTATTTCTTAATTCATATTTCTATGAATTTGTTAGCCTAAATTTCTACAATATACCTATTCTTTTTTCAAGTAATACAAACATTTATTTATTAATTCATATTTCTATAAATTACTCATTCTTTTCTCATGTATTAGAAACATTATGCAGGAATTCATATCTCTATCAATTTTTAACTTAAACTTCTATAAAATATCTATTCTTTTCTCATGTAAAACAAACATTATTTCTCAATTCATATTTCTATCAGTCTGTTAACCTAAATTTCTATAATATAGCTACTCTTTTCTCAAGCAATACAAACATTATTGATCAATTCATACTTCTATTAATTTGTTAACTTCAATTTCTATTAAATACTCATTCTTTTCTCATATATTACAAACATCATTCATCAATTCATATTTCTATTAAATGTAAAATTTAAATCTTCACAAATAATACAAGGATTGCTTGTCCATACACATTTGCATCAATTTGTTAACTTAAATTTCTATTAAATATTCATTTCTCATCTATTACAAACATTATATTTCAATTCATATTTCTATTAACTTATAACTTAAATTTCTTTACAACACTCATAACTTTCTCATATTTCTATTCAATACTCAATAAAGTAACAACTTAACTATATTCTTCTTTATTGCTGACGTATATTCTCATCTAATCCAAGTACATATTCTTATTCAGTATGACCACTTACTTTTATCGATTTCAAAAAATTTATATTCTTATTAACGTAAACCATCAACTCATACTAATCTTTATTACAAACATTTAATCTTATTAAAACAATAAAATATTATTTCTGTTCCATTATTAACTCTTATTCTTATTCATAGACCTACATCATCATTTATTTGTTAGCTTAAATAATTAAAAGATTTTCTCATTCACATATAAATTTCCACATTTTCTAATCGTACTAGTAATTTCTTTATTTATATTCTGTCTATTGCAAATCTTACTTGTCATCCTCATTCATGATGATGTGTTCAGACTAGAACACGAGAGCTCTAATGTTGTATTTTTTTTATTTCTGATTGAAATAAAATTTTTAAAAATGATATTCAAGGCAGTTATTTATTCCATACTTTCTTGTTTATTTCCTACTGCTCTCTCTTCTGGATTTATATGCAGGAAAGAAAAAAAGAAGTAATTCGCATATAGTTGAGCGGTCAAAATAGCGTATATGACACGAGACGGATTCGAATCCCGTGCGAAGCGATTATTTTTTTTTTCGTTCTTTTTGCTTCTATCGCATTGATTTTTGGAAAAAAAAATTTTGCTTGGAGTCAGAGGTACCCTCTTGAGATCTCGACGGCAATGGGAGTAATTGATCACGCCGATTACGAATCTGCTATTTTTTCTTCCGAACACTCTTCCTTCGGAACCGCTCTATGGTGATATGGAAGAAATATTATTACAGAGAACATAATATATACACATTGTATGCACTTATTTACTCACTAAAAGGCATCGAGATCATTCTGGATATATAGCAGCTGTCAAATTAAAATTAACAGAAAAATAATACTTAAAACAAAAAAGCAGGGGTTTTATTCAAAAGTAAAGAGAACAATTTAAACAAATATACAATTGTCCTATTTCATTTATATTGTAACTCGAATTAGGCAGCTCATACATTATAGCATAGTAAAAGAATGAGAAAAATAATTTGTGAAAATTGAATATAGAAAAGAATAAAAGACTGTAAATAATAAATGTTTTTTAGATATCATGTTGCTGTTGTTTTTTTAAATATAAAAGTTCTATTGATACAATATTACAATTAATTTTTGATGTTTATTAAAACTGTACAAGAAAATCTTATTATTTGGTCGAAAATTTATGACTAAAATCTAATGACGCTCAATATTTGAAGTTATTTTTCTTTTGAACAGAAATCGAGTAAACCCCCCCCCAGAATAAAAGGCCATGGCCTTCTATTATGGAAATTCACATCGCTCTTTTCAGGGTGGCCTTCTATTAGGGGTGGCCTTCTAATAGGACTTTAATGGTAAAAAATTACAATTTTTTTTTGTTAGTTGCTGATTCTGTTTTTCTAGCTCGACAACTGAAAATTGAAATTTGTTTAGACTTTTTGAGCTAATGCTACCCATGTAGCCGATTTTATGAAATAATGGGCATTGCAATGCATTATTTTACAATAGAAATGCAATGGATGCAATTACATGATAATGCAACCTATTTCATGCATTATAATGCATTATTTTTAATTAATCCATTGCAATACATTGATTTATCAACGCATCATAATGCATTTTTTTTTATAATAGTGCATTACAATGCATTGAAAATTTAGGCATTATCCTTCATTTTCAGCATTATTAGAAATAATGCATTGAAATGCATTGAAAAGTCAAAAAATAATTAATTATAATGCATTAATTCATGTTTTTCTTCAAATAATGGAAAATAATGGATCATTTTCCATTATTCATCCATTATCGGCTACATGGGTATTATATTTAATCAACAAATATTAGTATACCTATCCGATGTCTGGCACCACAAATACTTCAAAGAACAAAAAAGTTTTTATATGTATTCAAAAGATATGTAATCGTACCAAAGCAAAAGAATTGAAGCGATCAAATAGGCATATTAAACTTTGTTTTGTTTTGACAGCTTTTGGAAATTGAACATACCTCTTTAAATTTATAGCAAAATCAAACAGGAGTGCGGTGGAGATCATACATGATCTCTCAAAATGCTAAGATATTTATAAAACTAGCACAGAATATTTATGTAATATCCAAACAATTCATTAGAAAGCCATGGCCTTCTAATGTGACTTTTGCAAATATGACTCAGGGGTGGCCTTCTAATGGGGGTGGCCTTCTATTCTGGGGTGGCCTTCTATTCTGGGGGGGAGTTTAGATGAAAATATTGATTTCATCAAATATCATTATGAAGTTCATTGGAATTTAAGAATAAATATATTCTTTTAAAGTTCTACCCATTGAATTGATGTGAATAAACTCTTATTTACTTTATTTTATAAACAATAATTATTCAACCAATTGTAGAAACGCTACTTTTTAATAAGTCAAATAAACTATAGAAATTTCTTTTTCATTTTTTATTCAAACATCATACATTAATAATGTTCAAGCATAAAAGAGTATTTAAAAAAAAAAAAGAAATTCTTCGTAAAATAAATGATGGCTTTATATTAATATTCCAAAGCTTTGTACACTTCCTGTAAAGGACGATAAATTACATGTTCAGTATTCAATAAGGTTCCGAATACATATACACTAAAGCGAATGTTCTTTATTTTATCAGATATAATCATATGATTAAAATACTAAAAGAGTTATATCGCGACAAAAAATATTGCAATATTAATAATTTTCGTCAGTTCTTTAATAAAAAAATATTTCGAAATTGTATAACATTGAAGTGACACGATATTGTTCTCAAAAATTAATACGAAATTCGATACATGTGAAAGAAATAAATTTTGTTTCTTGCTGCTCAACTGTATTACACTTTGACAATAAAAAGAATTTCAATGGCTTTTAAAATATCAATAATCATATTCAAGTTCGTTTCTGACATTTAGGAAAAAACACAAATTATGATTTAACAGTTTCTTTCTCAGTATTTTTATACATTTGAGTAGGCTTTTATTTTGGTTAAGTTACAAGATTCTCTTATTCTCCTTTTGTTTTTTCTTTTATTTCATTTCATAATGTAATGATGAATGTAGAAAATTTTCTAGAGTGGTTTCAAATCTAGAAAAATTAGTTACGTCTGAAGAAAATGCAAAAAAATACCTTCGAGGACGAAAGAAACTATGTATATCAGAAAGTTTTTCTTTCAAAACGTTTGTTAAATAGTGAATATTGATAAAAGTTACAGAAACACTTCATTTTTAATCTGTTATTTCTATTAGTTATCACTGTTAGAGCAAATAATTATTTTAATTATTTAGTTTATTTGTCACTTGAATGTTATTCTTTTATTCTTTTTGTCAAAGATTAACTATTCTTTTTTTAGAAATTAATAATCATTTGTTTGTTATCAAATGTCATCATTAAAAAATTATTTTGTCAATTTAAATATATTTCAATCATCTGATGACTCAACAACAGATGAAGAAAAAGAACATGAACGTCGATCAAATATTATTTCAACTCGAATCTTTTTTATTGTTTTTATCATCGTTCTATTTGAACTCGCTATTATTATGAAAACAAGAAATCGAAATACACTTATAACAGTTGAAAATCCAAGTGAAGATCAATTCAAAAATTTACCATCGGATACTCATTGTCCATGTTCTCATATATCATTATCTAATGGAGAGTTTATTTCAATTCAAACTCGATTTCATCAGATATGTTCAAGTGATTTTATATCTGATCAATGGATTAAAACAATTAATTTTGGTTTAAATACAACGTATTTTTCCGCTTATGACTTTCGAACAGAAGGAAGTGCAATATTTCAATCACTTGAAAGTTTTTGTCGACTTTCAAAAGGTTATGCTATTCAAAGTATTGATTCATTTAATAAAGATTTATTTATAAGTCAAGAAGTTTTAAAAGAATCTGTATTTCAATCACAAATAAATGCTATTATTCAACAGTTTGAATTATCATCACCTATTGAATTCTCAACACAAGTAGCATTAATAAGAAAAATGATAGCCGGAAATCGTTTTCTATCTGCTCTTCAGACTAATTATATGCAATGGTATATGCCTTGGCAGAACAATGTAATTCTAATTGTGGTACATAATCGAGTTTTCCTGGATGTACAGGATTCCTCATCATGTTCTTGTCGGATCCATATTGATTGTAACATAGAATTAATGATGTTTAATCAATTCAGACAATCCGATGTTGAGTACCTTCCGCCTGATGATAAAATATTAATGAAAATTCCTGGAATATCGCATAGCTGTTTACCAGTAAATACAATTCTTCTCTCAACATTAGAATGTTTTTCCAATCAAACATGTTTAAATAATCTTGTTTCATTATTACCGACGACTGCAAATTTTACAGTAATTTCAGAATTGGAACAAAGTCGTTACAAGTTAAATTCAACAATACAAACAATTATCGATAATTTAATGATTGAAGAATCGATGACCGATATTTATTATAAGAAATATTATGAACAATGTGCTCCTATTTCATGTACTTATTTTAAGAATGATAAGTATGATTGGAAATTTGTACTGACACAATTAATTGGTTTATTAGCAAGTATAATAACGGTATGTAGTTTTATTATACAAAAAATAGTTCAATTTGTTCGACGACGACCATGTCAAAATACAGAATCAATATCTTGTAAGTTTAGTTGTTTGATTTATTAAATAGAGTATGCTGACTACCTTCAATTCATTAATATTTCTTCTTATGAACATGAACAGCGCCAGGCAAAGTTTCTAAAGGAAGCAATTGTACATATGACTTCGCTATAGAGTTCAGAGATGGACGAGTCGTGGTATCACACTACTCTGTCTCTTGACAGTATTGAATTTTTTAAATATTTTTTTCTTTAACGTGTGTTTTTCCATTTCGCAATTCTATCTTTATATACAGGATAGCTGATAAATAACAATATGACGATAAGAAATTCAAATATTTCCAGCTGAATTTGTCCAAATGAATTCATATTTTTGGCTGGTAATAAAACTCTACTCAAAAGTTTTTTCCATTCAGATAATGTTAATAAATATTACTGCTAAATCTTTCAGCTGACCTGATGAAAACAACTTGACTATACTGGAAACAAAAACGGTGTTAACCGAAATCGTACAAGTTTCGCGTGATTTTACTATATATCCTCAGGTATCGTACAAGAGTACGAAATCTCTTCAAGGTTTCGTAGCCAAATAGTTTCGTACCAAATGAATTTGTTTATAATTAATCTACTTATCAAACACTTCAGAATGAAGCTTAAGCGTTTTTTTAATCTTTCTTGACTGTGGGTGCTGATATGGTTTTATTCAACAACAGACACCCACACCCCACATATGATAGAAAAATAGGTCATGTCGAATTTTTTTTCTTATGATAATAACTGAAGTATGATGAAACAGCACAGAAAGATAGAACATTGTCTTTTCTGTCAGCTCATGTAGAAAGAAAGGTTTCTCAAACTTATAATGTGGTACTAAAGTGTCACCCTCACTAGTTAGAATGTTCTTGATGTCGATCTCAAAATATTTTCAAAAATTTTATACCCTTTTCGGGAAAACAAAAATTAAAGTAACCAGTGATTCACAATGGAATAAAATTTTGTCTAGGATGTTTTTATATAGTTCGATAAAACAAGTTGTATTTTTTGAAGCGTCTGTGGATTAAAAACTAATGGAAAAAAGACTAATTTTATTGAAAAATTGAACGTTTTTTCTCTCCTATAAACATGAGCTTTTAAATTTTGCAAGTTTTTCAGCTATTTTTTGAGTTTTTGGTCTCATAAAAATAATTAATTTTTTCTAAAAATATATACAATTTTGTAGAGATCAACGAACTCTATCGAGCGATGTAAAAATACCCTAGACAACATTTTACTCTATTGTGAATCTCTGGCTATCCTTTTTTTTTCGCGAAAACGGTATAAAATTACCAAAAATGTTTTGAGTTCGATGTCAAAAACGTTCTACAACTCTTACTATTTAGCATGGATAGATCTCATTTTTAACGTGTTTCAATCTAATATAAAAGTTTTTTATGAATGCTATTTGAAATCATAGTGTTAAACTCCTCCATTCTGAAAAAAAAAACAATTTTTACACACTCTTTATATTCATATTAAATTTCACAAAATGTCGTAAGATTATTTGAATTTATCACAAATAAAGAGTCAAGATGATTGAAAAAATATCTCCATTATAGAGTTGTCGAAGTTTCTCTACGAAAGTTATATTAATAGTCTCATTCCATAATAGAAGTCCTCTCCAAAACCTCTGAATGATGAACAGTTTAGAAGCTCCCGTGGGCTTCTATTATGGAAAGGAGTTTATCCCTGTAACGAATTTTAAAAAGATGGAGATATTTCGTTATTACTGCAACATTTATTTTATTGTGATCATAATGATAGACTGATGGAGTAACGTTATCGCTATTCTCGGTATAGGATGTTCACTTCATTACTCGATCACCCACCTGTGTCGATTTTAGATAGAGTATTACGTTATATAAGAGAACAGAAAAAAACGAGCTTATCTGAATGATTTGAAGTCGAAATATTTAAATTTCCTATCGCCTTGTTATTATTTATAGGTCAGGCTATATTTGAATTATATCTCTTCATCTCAGGAAATACAATATTAATAATCAAAGGCTATTTAAAATTTTCTAAATAGTCTGAAAACAGACTTTGGACGAGACGAGACGGGGCCAGCCGATGACTGTGTGACTTCTTGGCAGTCCCATCCACATTTGACAGCATTAATTCTATTCTCAGAAGTTTGCATAGAAGAGAGTATGGTATAATGGGAAAATGTAGGCGTTCAGCGAAAAAAAAACTTCTGTGTATGTTTAATGAAACTATTGTTAGCATAATCTTTAATAGAAAATACCTATTCGTATAGAAGAAGTACGCTTTATCTCAATAGAATCGATTTTATTTATTTGGCTTGTTATGGTGCAAGAAACTTCTTCAATCGAGAAATACATTTTACAATGTAAAATTTCAATTTTATCTTACACTTTTTGAGGAAGAGAATAGAGTTTTTTTTAGTAGAACAATTACTTCCTCTTTTAACATGGGTACACCGACATATTTGTCTAAGTGATGATATTGATTGATTTGATTTACTATTGAAATTGTTACAAAAGAAAAGTTTTTCTTTATTTTTCTTAGTTAAAATCTAAAAATAAAATTATTTCTTTCTTTATTTTAGGTTTAGTAATAATAAAGATAACAAGACTTTTGAAAAAAACTTTAATTGAACTAAACATGTTTCAAAATAATGGAAGCAATCAACATCAAATCAATTATCAAAGAATGGCAACTCGATTTCACTTATTCTTTCTTTTCATTTCGCTTATTATTTTTAGTTCCTATTTATTATTAAAGAAAGATCTTCAACAAAAAACAATTTATCAACCATCGGAATTTCAATTTAAAGTAGGGGAGGGAAGTTACCGTTACTACCTAGTTACGTTACCAGGTAACTAGTAACTCCAAAGTTACTAGTTACCGAGTAACTAGTAACTCCAAAGTTACTAGTTACCAAGTAACGGTAACGCTTTATAGACCCTTACCTGGTGACGTAATATTCGAACATCTTAAGGTATTCGAATATTACGTCGCCAGATAAGGGTCCATAAAACGTTACCGTTACTTGGTAACTAGTAACGCCAAAGTTACTAGTTACTCGGTAACTGGTAACTTCGGCGTTACTAGTTACTTGGTAACTAGTAACTTCGGCGTTACTAGTTACTTGGTAACTAGTAACTTTGGAGTTACTAGTTACTTGGCAACGTAACGGTAACTTCCCTCCCCTAATTTAAAGAACTCGAAAAAATTTATTCTTCAAATCTTTATTGGCCATGTTTAACAATCTCAATGAATCATTCAACTTTTATTACGATTTAATCTTACTTTCATCAAGTATGTTCAAGTGATTTTATATCAGATGCATGGATTAATTATATCAAAGGTGATAACATGATGAACGAGGGTGTGGGTGTGGGTGGGTGTGAATGTGGATGGTGTGGGTGTGGGCATTAATCATAAGAAGGCACCCACACTCACACCTATACCCACACTCACACCCACACCCACACCCCACCCACACCCACACCCACACCCACACCCACACCCTAAAATATTGATATCAATCATATTTTATTTGTCATTAACTCATACTGCCTGTTCTTGATTAGTCATTTTCGAATACTGATAAAAACACGTTAAAATCTTCACATATTCTCACGAGTGTTGATATGTTGTGGTTTGATAATAGTAAGTTGTCTAGATAAAGAAATAAAGTATATTTCCTAAAGTGTTCTTCTCAAAAAAAAATAGCTCTTTAAGTTTAAATTATCATTTCCAAAGGATAATATAGTGAAAAATCTTTTGGCTACTATTTAAGCGGTCAGTAAAATAAATTAAATGATCAGTAAAATAGATGAAATGGTCAGTAAGATAAATGGTCAGTAAAAAGTATATAAATGATCAGTAAAAAGATTAAATGGTCAGTACTTAGATTATCACTCATATAAAAAAAAAGATTGGAAAAAATCTAATTTTAATCGATTTTTTAAATCAAACCAGTGATTAAAATAAATTAAATTTATAAATATTAATTTTAATGGCGGCGACGGTAAAATGCGTTTTCTCAAACTTTATGTTGAAAACTCAGATGTTCGATCGCTTTTTCGGACTCCTTGCCTCGGAAAATTAGTAGATATGATGCTAGATCGACCTTTGACATAAATTCCATGCTTCAAGACTCGATATCAATTGGTACTTATTCATTTAAAAAGAAAAACTATTAGAATTGATTAAAATCGATTTAAAAATTTTAATCGATTTTAATAGATTAAAAATCGAATAATCTGACTAAAATTGAGTAAAATAGTCAATGAAAAAAGTTTAATCGATTAAAATGGATATTTATAAATTTAATTTATTTTAATCACTAGTTTAATTAAAAACCTGGTTAAAACTGTCCCATTTTAATCGATTTTTAATCACAAAAAAATCGATTAAAATCAGATTTTTCCCAATCTTGTTTTTTATATGAGTGATAATCTAAGTACTGACCATTTAATCTTTTTACTGATCATTTATACATTTTTTACTGACCATTTATCTTACTGATCATTTCATCTATTTTCCTGACCATTTCATTTATTTTACTGACCGCTTAATAATATCCCAAATCTTTTTGATTGAAATTGATTAAAATTTCAAAATTCTGATAGATATCATGATATCTGCATTGGAACTATTTACGCTTCTCGTCATATACAGAAAGGCTGAATGAGTCTATTAATATTAGTGTCCTGGCCTAGGGTGCACTTCAATGTTTAATTTTACATTATAGATTGAATAACAACTATAACGGAAAACAATGAGCAATGAAAAAATAGCTTCAGTTAACATTCGTTATATTTCAGATAATCCATATGTAGTCATTAGTGTAGCGAATACAAAGAGAGCTCGACTTGAGATTGAAACAAAAAAAACGAAGAAAATGCTGAAGCAATCAAACGAAATCGAGTCAATTTGATAGTTGGTCGCAATGGTTCAATGTCATCAAGTAATAAAATGGAATTTGCGAAAAAAGCCGTTATCTCAGTACTTAATTTACTTCATGATGATGTTGTACATGTTGTTGCTTATAATACAACAGTGTGGAACGGCTTTGAAAATGCACCGGCATTAGGTTATCAAGCTCTTTATTCAGTCGTCGAAGGAATTAAGACTGGTAGTGAAACTTTCTTATCGGTGGTATCGATATGGGTGCCAGTCTTACTGGAAAATATCCAGATCCTGAATTTTCCAAACGTCTGTTTGTCTTATCTAATGGATTAGCTAATGTTGGATTAAGAACAAACGAAGAAATCATGAAGGCTGTTGCAGAATATAACGAAAAAGGAATTATAATTGATCCATTCGGTATTGGAGAAGATTTTGTTGCAGCAATTATGAAAGGTATTACTCAAGCGGGTTGTGATGAATTCTTTTTGGGGTGTGGGTGTGGGTGTAGATGTGGATATGGATGTTGGTGTGAATGACGGAAATACCTACATCCAACCCCACCCACAGTCACAGCCACAGCCACAGTCACACTCTACACCCACACCTCACACCCACACCCCACACCCACACCCTCACCCACATCCATCTAGATCACAGCTCTGTTGACGATCACAGTGTTATTTTCTCCGTAGTTTGCTCTCAGGATTAAATTAAGCGAGGCCCAACGGCCGACATACTACTTTTATTATATGAACTGAAAATAAAAAATAAGAAATAAAACTTTCACCATGATATGAAACTTGAAATCAACTCACTATGTTCT